CATTCACCAATTCTGTGCTCTCAGCTTTTTTCTTTGCAAGTGAGAGAGAGAGAGAGAGAGAGAGAGAGAGAGAGAGAGAAAGAAGGACAAAAAAAGAAATCGATTTTCTGATTTCCCAAGAACATTCTTTCTATTCGTTGCTTTAAATCCCTACATATTGTAATGTTTATTGTATTTACCCAAATATTTCGACTTATTTCTATCGAGGAACCTATTTTATTTTTATCAAAAAAGGATTGAAAAATAAAATTAAAATTAGAATAGTTATTGTTAGTAAAACGACCAGTACTTTTTCAAATCTCAATTCGTTTCTTTTAATTAACGAATTCAATAATATGAATATATGTTTTTTTAAGTATCGATTTATATTTTATTGTATAAATTTCAAAATACGAATAGAATGCAAACATGATACAAAATAAATAAAAGATAACGTTACTAATTACAAATTCATTGAATCCTTTTTTTAGACATTACGTCTAGGTTTGTTAACATTTGTCAATTAATATTCTTAATTAATTTGTGGTCATGTTAACGGATAATGCAGTGAACAATTCTTATGGATATAAAGGCTCGACTAACTGTTACTATAATGGGTGTATTTAATGATCTAATGAAAGATCGATCTGCGTTTTATCCTCCTATATTTTCATGCGGTATCAATTTAACGCAATAATAACTGTTTAATCGTTACTTAATTATCTGTTTGCTATTCTATTTAACCAAATTCTCGTCTAGACAACGTAATTCTCATGATTAATAATAAATAATGAATATGTTTCAAATGAACAATACAATAGATTAAATAACAGAAGAATTGGTCATTTTTTTATGGAGACTTGTTAAAGCTTGTTGATATTTTTTAAGATGTTTCTTCGAAGGTTTAAAAGATAAATAAACTCGGAAATATATTTTATCGATCGCAATTCTATCAAAATAATGATATTAAAATTAATAGATTTATAAAATAAGTTTATTGTATCGTTAATAAAAATTATTTCATTATTTTTTCTTATTATTTCTAGTGTGAAATAAGCAAGTATATATTTAGTGTATAAATTTTATAAATCTTTATAGGATCCTTCGTTATTTCTCTTTATTTGAAAACCTTGGAGTATCGTAATAAGAAAAAAAGCATAAATAAAAACGTAAAATAAAGAAAAAGGAATAACGGTTCGTTTACAGCACTTCCAGAGACGATGACGCTTTCATCTCTAACGATGAAAAAAGTGAAGGAGCATTAATAAGATCCTTGTCTGCTTTAAGAAAGATATTTTATTAGGACGTTTAATGTCTTATCTAAAAAACAGTCCTTTTTCTCCGTGACCGTAGCTACTTTCTATTTTAATTCGACTTAAATCTTTAAATAAGTTGCTCAGAAGAGACTCGTTATGATTATTTGCATGCTAAAAAAATAAGATTATTTTAATGAGATTTAGCGATAATTAAATTTAGGTGTTACCATCAATTTAATAACGATGCATGAAAGAAACTACTAAACTATATCAAACTAAATTAAAACTACCTTGGCTTTCTCCTGACAGGCACAAGTTTTTTGATACAGTTATAATATCTGACATTATTTTAAATATCCCTTCAGTTATAATATATATGGTATATATATATATATATGGTGTGTGTCGATGTTTTTAAATAAATTTGTGAAATAACTTTATTTTGAAACCGAATTGAAATTGAATTTAATTAAATAATTATTTGTGAATTGTCGTAACGCGCGTAGCTTCATTTTTACTATAAGTTTCAAGTTAATTCATCCAACCATATAAACGGAGAAATAGATATTAAGCAAACATTGAAATTTTTGTAATTTTTATAAGGAACGTAAAGATCTAAAAAAGATTTGTTTGATATATATACTTTTTTCTATATCTTATTTAAAAAAAAAAAAAAAAAAGAAACGAGAAAAATGTTGAAATCTCACCTCGGTATTAGTTTGTCTTCGAGCATGGTTGGTATATCGTCGCTATCTTCGGTGACAGCAGCAAAAAAATCTTGAAACTTGTCCGGGAAATTGCTGGGTGTGCAGTTATTCATGGAAACATGCTCGAAAACTATCGATGTTCGTTTTTCGACACTAACCGCATGGTTATCCGACTTAGTGGATGCTGCCATTCAAAATGAACTAACGAAAGTTACCAAGAGATAAATACGCGTATCACTTGGACGTCCACTGAACTCTTAATCCCCGCGAAAAAATCTTAATAAAGTCTTTGCCTCGATCACACTCATTTCATGACTCGAATCATCGATGACATTACTTTCGTCCTTTTAATTTCGAAAGAAAATCATCGAAAACGTTAATTGATGATTTAGGGGATTATCATCAAAGTATTTTTAACAACACAGATATCCGAGTCTTTGATTTAAGTTGGAATCGATTTTTCAAGAGCTCGAATATCCTCTTTTCGAGAACCACGAGGTCCCGGAGACGCAACAGGATAACGTTCAAAAGCGAACGAGGGAGATGGTAAATTGTAATAACAGTAATGAATCTAACTTCGCGTTCCAGCTAGGTCTTGCTGAAAACTGAAGCTTGCATGTACGTTCTTGCGCGTCATACCACCTCCGTTGTGTTCATCTGACAACGCTTGCGCAATCGTGACAAGGCCTAAAAGTTCGCCGAACGAATCAACTGACAAATGTAGAATAACTCATCGACGAATGTACCGCGATTCACTTTTCTATTCCTTTTATTTTTATTTACATTTATTCCCTCCCCCTTTTAGTACTACTCTTATTCGAAACCAACTAGGAAATTAATTTTCGATCCGTGCAATACGTAAATAACATTATTTCTTTTACCTCAACTTTGCGATACGTTTTTCTTCTTTTAGAAGTAACGATAAAACGTTTTCTTCAAAACTTATTTATATGTTGCGTATATAGAAATAAGAATTTCTTCTATCTCTGTTTAAATATTGATCTTCGAGCGTATCTATAGATTGGTTTTATTTTCTAGTCGAAAGTAAGTGATAGAATAATTCGTCGGAACTTTTAAAAATATTATACGAGACAGGTGAGTTTAGCGAAGACAAGACTAAGTATCTAGATATCGATTAATTTTAAACTTTTGATGAACTACGATAATTAAATCTTCTGAAGTATTTAATTAAAATGAATTTTCAAAGAGTATATACATAAAAGATAGTTTTTATATTTCACCATATTTGAAGAACCATCAAGGAAGAACGTCTTTTGAGAAAAAAAAGAAAAAATGAACTCGTGAAAGAACCCGTCCACTCAAGGAAGCCAACGTAAATCTTGATCTTCTTCTCTGTCTTCTCTAAAAAAGAACTTAATGCATTCAAGACGAGCTTCCTTTTACCCGTTAGAATACTTTAACCTTTCAGCTTTATTCTTTAATTTTTCAATTAAAATTTTTCCCCGATCGAATTATGTCATCGATGTAAATATCTTTATCATCAACATCGATAAAGTATTTAGACACGTGTCAGGTCTACAAATAAAACAGGCAAGAGTGTCGACGGTTTCTTTAATATCATTATACTTGGCAATTTGATAGGAGACAAGTTCGTTATTCCCCTGCCATCATCTTGGAACACCATCTTTATTCTAACACGAGACGAAGATGAATGTTTGTGGTAAGGCTTGTGAAACCGTTTCCTCGTTCAGAGTCGGATATCGATTATATATTAGGAAGACATATGAAGTTCATACGTGACGCATACTACCTCATAATTCCTTCGTCAAAATCTGATATCAAATTTTTTTCTCTTCTATAAAATGAAATAATTCAAGGAAAAGAAAAAAAAGCGACAGATATTTAATTCCTACTCAAATTTATTATATTAATCAATGTTACTTTTTTTTTTAATTACTTTCAACAAGTTTCACGAAGTGATCAGATAATAAATTGAATTATAATTAACTCCTTTAGTATTAGTTCAATATAATCGGCTACTTTTTTGTCTTTTTACTTTTCCTTTTACGGGTTTGAGCTATTCGTCTACTAAAACCTTTACTACTAAAGATGTTGTATTTTTTTACTGCCACTTTAAAATCAACAGCACGTGATTTTTGTTTTTTTTTTGAACGGGCCACCTATCCATTTCACTAACTGTATTTACATTAACTATTTTGTTTTTAATGATCGATATATTTAATTAAATACTTGAGTGAATCAATTTTTATCAATAGACATTTAGATACGCGTGTACAACATTGTCCAAATTAAAATGAAGAAAAAATAATTTAATCGCGTGCAAATGTCACTGTCTCAATATCACGAGAATCTTATATTGATTACGAGCAGCAAGTAATTAGAAAGACGTGTTGCTTCGTATTATATGCTTCGTAGAAGCATACGTTATAGGTGTAAACGATATTATCTTGATTGACTTAATTACATCTACCAACAATTTAAATTTTAATGATTTTCTAATTTTACGATTCGTCGAGTATATCTCTAAAAGAACAATAAAGTCATAATAAAAGTAAATAATAAAATATAAAATATGAAATAGCAGGATATTTTGTCATGTTATTTATCTTATCTATTTTATTGATCTCTTTTTGCTCACTTAATATTTCATCCCATCACTCTTCCCTCTTGGCTTACCTACACTGATATAAAAAATCATATTTGATAAAATATTATTCCAATAGAAGGAATTTCTAAGAATGCCAACTCCACAAATAAAGAGATTACTGCTACAATTTTGTATCTACAAAAGACCTAGTTTCGAATTCGTATGTCTAGCATATTTTAAGAAAACATTATCGATAAAATTGTATCTTATATAGGAGGCATGGAATAAGTGTACATATTTGTGCAAGTACTTTGAAAAAACGGGATGTAACCGACAAACGTTTTACTTGGTGAATGATGGTTAGATCCCAAGATCGATGGTCTTCTCGATGGTCTACTCGATGGTCTACTCGATGGTCTACTCGATGGTCTGCCGTCGACCTCGTGGACTCTGGAGCCAGCGGAAACCATCGTCTTCATATATTCACCTTATGTCAGCAGGAGCAGGCTCGAGAGAATTGGGAGAGATAAAAAAGGAAGGTTACACGAGTTTTCCAAGATGTTGGATAAAGAACGAGGTTAGCTATTGATACTGTGACAGTGACGTTGGAAGCACTTTCGAAATAAGACGACTAAAGGGAGGTACGCACACAGACGCATACACGTTTATAAAATACCTAAGTAAGTAAGTATGTATATATGATACATACTTATGTATGATGTGCATACATGGATAAGTTTTCAGGAAACAATGGATTCTATTTTTAGATACTTTACCTCGATCACTTTCGATTTTTGGCGCATGCACTTTTGAAGAGCACTGCCTCTGGAAGTGGAATAGAAAAACATCATTGATAGAGAGAAAAAAGATAATGAATAGATTAATGACAAATTTAGGATCGATAGACGTTTTGTAGCTTGATTAATGCCTCGATTAAAGATACAAGAATATTTGATAGGCTAAAATTAAGCCTAATGTGTCAGATCCAAATTTCCAAAAATACATTCATTTTTAATACTTACTGAGAGAGATAATTGTCTCCAACTCTAATTTTGCTATTCAAATTACTAGAAGTTAGTAGTTCCTAATATTAGACGAATAAATCTTAGAGAACAATAAGCAAAGTTTTGCCATAATGAACCTATCTTATGAACTTACGAAATGATTCTAATTATGAGTTCAAAGTTGTTAATAAAGGTGTTAATGATAAGTACGTACATTCCAACTTTACTCGTAAGCAGCTTTTAATTACATTTCTTTAGTAAATTGTATTCTATGAAATATATTCAATCGTATTAATAAATTTTTCATAAAAAAACATATTAGGTATTAACAATAAAAGTGTTTTTGAAAATAAAAAAGAAATTCGTGCTAGTATAGATGAAATCCCGTAGTAAGAGTGAGAGAGAGAAAGAGAGATACGCAAGATAAGACACACGGGCATGTGCGTGTGTGTGTGTGTGTGTGT